GAGATGAAATAACTTGCACCTCACTCATAAAAGTAGAGTGGAAGACTGTGTATATGAACCCAAGCCTATTGGTACCATCTGTGGAGGTGATATAGTAGTTAAGAACAGCAGCTCTGGGTGTGCTGACTGGCTTTATCATCTACTAGCCAGCTGTTACTTTTTCTTTTGGGGTCTTAAGTTTCCTTAGAAGGAAAAATGGAAATGATAACAGTGTCTATTCTCATGAGTTGACCAATGAGGATTAAATGGTTAATGCATGTAAAGTTAAAGCTATGACAGATATAGAGCAACTGTGCATATTGCTTGTAAATGCTAACTACTCCTGGATAAGACACGGCAATGATTTGGGTGCTACTGCAGAATCACTGATGATCCTTCTTAACACTTTCTTAAATTGTTCACGACCTAGTTCTGCATCCTGCATCTGTGTATGATTAAGAAAATTACCTATCTAGCTAAGTTTTAATGGAAAGGTGCTGCTTTTGTGAGAAAGTATTTGCTGAACCAATCAATTTAGCTTGGATTATAGTAAAATCCAAGGTCCCTTTCTCCTCTTTGTTCAACACCCTCATACCTTCTGTCTTTATAGGTTCCTGTCTCACTCCAAACTCCATTCCCATAAATATCTCATACCATATTTATTCTATTTTTCATTGTCACCATCCTTGCTCAAATTTTGATCACCTACTTGTCTCTACTACTTTAAATGTTTTCCTTAACTTTACCTATTGCTGCTAGATTCAATAAACACATTATCTACTATGTGCCAGGTACTATTGTGCTAGATATTTGCAGAGAATTTCATTTAGTCTTCACACAACCATGAGAAACACTATCAGTCCCATTTTATGAGACTGAAGAAGGTGTGGATAAGATGGGTTTAGAGACTTTAACTAACGTCATGGTACCAAGTAGCCTAGTTAAGACTCAAATCTAGCTCCAAGTCTCCCAAAAAGTAAGATTCTGATTAGATCATTTTCATTTTAAAAACCTTTATAGCTCCTACTTCTTGGGGAATAACAGCCAAGTTTCTTGGCCTGGTACTTCCTTTTTTTCCCTCTTATGTCTAGTCTGTCTAGGTTTCTGTCTTATTTCATTATATGTCAAATACTCTACCACTGAACACTGTTATATGATCCAAACTTACTTCTGTCTTGCATAATTTTCCTGTGCTACTATATGGACTTTAGCTAACTCAGGCAATTCATTGTATCCTAAGGAGACTTACCTAATTCTACCCTTTCTGTGTTTATGCTATGTCTTTCACCTTGAAACACCCTCTTTGCCCTCTCAAAATTGTATATATACAATAAGGGTTAGCTCAAATATCACCTCCTTAATATATTTTTTTCTAATTTTCACATCACCGGAAGCTCATAGCACTTTATTCTGCAACTTGTACTGCATTCACATACTAATAGCAATACTGATACACAAAGTAATATTGATCTTATTTATCTTGAAGGAAAGGATCATAAAATTACTTACTCCTCATACTCAGTTTCTTCCTTCTCATACTTAACAGTGCCTTATGCTGATTTGATTTAGCTTATACCTCTAAATTTTAACATAAATTCCTTAGATTCTTCCCTCAGCATTTCAAAATCTTACTTACAACAAGTAAACTTGAGACAAGAAATTCCATTCCTCATTTTTAACAAGAAATGAACTCAGAGTGGAAATGTTTCACAGGATTTGCTATTAAAGCTCAAAGGCATTTAGTTTATTTAAGAAGTTAAATTATAGAACATTATATATAGTGAAAATTCCACAGAGTCCCTACTGGATTCACAAATATCAAATTGAACTAAACCAAAGTTTTCATAAAAACTGACATTTTCCAAAAAGCTTTATTTGCTTTAATCTTTCTCTTCCTTTTGATAAGATTAAGACTCTAAATGGCAAATGGTTAAACAGGCATACAAAAATGCTACCTTCAAGGCATCCTGCCTTAAATAAACACACTAAAATGCCAACTCTGAGGCATCTGGCCTAATATATTTATAAGCCTGTCTGTCTCAAATGTTCTTTGAAATTACAGTTCTTTAGGAAGCTCTTTTAAATTCTTTGTATGAACATTCAACAATACACGGATAGATATGGATGCTGTAGATTCATTTGGTATCATTTATCAAGATTTATTAAATTCTCCAAAATTAAAAGGGAAGTAAGGCCAGCAAAATTTTAGATCATATCTAGTCATTTTATTTAAGGTATGCTAACCTCCACACAGAGTAAGAAGTTCTTCTGATGTTTTGGAATGTCAGAAATAAAATATTTATATCATTAGGTACTGTGTTTATAAAATAAAATTCTTACTCTAAAACCTAGGTATATCACAAAAGTAAACCTCATTTTCTGGATTTTCTTACCCTAAAGATTTTCTTTGGTTAAAACAGATCACAACTAGCCCCAATATGAGAAAAGAGACTAGTGTGTGTCTGAAATTGACGCTGAAATCCTGAAAGTCCAGAAGGAAAAGTGTTAAGGACCCTTGAAGGATGAGGCCAGATAGCCAGGATCAATCTTCCCAGAAACATTTATTGAATACCCACTGCAATAATCATGGTACCTGTTGTAATAGAAGATATTGCTAGATGTAACACTGATAAAATGTATCATACAAACCTAAATGTAAAATGTCAACTGTGACAACTATTTACCACAAGTTTTCTGTTAGCTAGGAAAGGCTTCCAATAGGAAATGATGACTGATGTATCAGTCAGGCTATACTAAATAAGCGAAAACACCTGAATACTCAAAAGTGTGGGCCAGGCATGGTGGCATATGCCTGTAATCCCAGGTTTTGGGAGGCTGATGCAGAAGGATCACTGCAAGTTCAAGACTAGTCTGGGCTATGTAGTGAGTTCAAGGCCAGCCAGGACTACATAGGGAAATTCTGTCTCAAACAAAACAATAAAAAGTGTGGGACTTTAAAACAAGAATAGCTGTTTGGTGTTTGAAGAGCTAAGTACCAAGCAGGAGACAGTGAGATAACTCAGATATTATTAACAGTAAGAAGTTACCACCAAACTTGGGCTGGCATAACAGATGAAGGATGTGGTATTAATGGAGACGAAGAGCTGGAACATTAAACATTTATTACTGTATTTATTTATTTAGTATTGTATTTACTATTGTTAAAGAACAAACAAAACTATCCACTACCCATTTTATTATATGAGCTCTTCTTTTTGCAAACGAGTTGATCTCTGACTTGAGTGTCTAAGACTGCTCCAAACGTTCCTTGGATTTAAGTTTTTTCTAAAATAGGCTCTATGCAGGCTATTTGTTAAATTATTCTTTTCATTTCCTTTATATCCCAATTTATAAAAAATTCTCTTAAAAATAAAAAGCCATCAAATAAATCTAAGTTGTTTTCTTGTGGATTGGCCTCCAGCAAGTCATTCATAATTCCCCTTTCCCTTAGCTTCTATTTCCAGAAAGGCTAAAAAATTAAACCTCACTCTTTGTCTTGAAAGATGGACACTTAAGGATGCATTAGACATCCTCGCAACAGTAACAACAAAGCCTTATAAACGATGATGGAGGAGGAAGCCAGGCTCCTGCCCGTAAGTTATTACATTCTGATATATGTAATTTAATGCCTATAGACATTGACTGTTGACATTTTCAATACCAGACCTAATTAGTAACCTAGAATTTTCTTGCAATCTACTTAGGGCATATACTAAGATTTAAAATGATCCAAGATTGAAGTGTTACTAATCTTAGCTATAAAATATTAAAGTTGTCTTATCTCATACCTTTACAAATATAATAAATGTAATAAAGGGAATTGAAAATGCCAACAGCAATGGCAAGTCACAACCAAGTCAAATTAGTACCAAAAATTTACTCTGACAAAACAATAATACTTTTTCCAGGAAAAAGGAAACCTTCCTTAAAATTTCTACTTTGATTATGTCATTATCATGTTCAAAATCTTCTAGAGCATCTTCCCTTTCTAGTTTTATTTCTCCCTGCTCCACCCTCATCAAAATTACTGTTCATTCCAAGAGAATTTCACCACTGCCTAATTTTTTTTTTTTTTAAAGACAGGGTCTTGCTGTATAGTTCAGCCTGGTCTTGAGTTCACTGTGCAGCCCAGGCTAGCCTCGAACTTGCCACGATCCTCCTGCCTTAGCCTCTCGAATACAGGGATTACAGGCATGTGCCACCACATCTGGCTGCCCAAATTTTACGTAAAGATATTCCCATCAGTTACTACACAGAGAATTGAAAATTTAAAAGTCAAGGGGACATGTATAAAAACATTTCACAGTTGCCCACTAAAGATTTAGCAGCATTTTCACTACTGCTGTGAAATAACAACATATTCATACTAAAAAAATTATTTACTGTTTAGCAGAAATTCAACATTAACTGAATGTCCTGTATTAGCGGCCTTCCTAATAACCAGCAGATCTAAAGAGCCTACTGTCACGATTCTATTTTCTTCATAGTATCTGTCAATCCCTAGAAATATTCTTATTATTTTTGCTACTAGTTTATTGCTACATTCTCTCTATCCTCGAGTGCATAGTGCACTGCCTCCTACCTAACCCACACATCTTTCCCATGTTAGTGCTGAGGAATACAGTCTCTTCTTATCTTGCATTGTTTTCCCAGCATCTAAAACTCTGCCTTGCACAAAGTAAATGCTCAAGAAATATCTTTTAAATAAATGAGTGCTCTGGATTCACAAGCCCTTTAAGGTGTTTAGTAAAAATTACTTTCTTCTAATCCCATAACTAAAACACATTTAAAGTTCTAGAAGGAACACTTGTCAGACTTTGTTTCTTATGTAGACATTCTGAATATCAACTAGTTCCATGAGGTTTATTTTATTACAAATGTTGTACTGTCAGTAAGACCAATAAATAAGATCTGTTCATAACTAATGACCAAAAATAACTCAGGAATATAGAACTATTAATAAAAGCATGATTACAGAATAATCCTTTATACAGATGTACAACTATGCAAATCTATCTTACCGTCTTAATAGAACTCCTTTGTTTTTCTTCCCAAACACCACTGCTCAACTCAAATGTACAATGAATATTTGCCTCTCTGTCATAGGATCCAAAAATGAGTAACCTATAGTATAAAAATAAAACAGTGAGAGTATTATACTAGTTACAGACATTAAATTTTTTCCTTCTGATCATTAGTATAAGAAATAGTATCTTATTCCAATACTATATGGTTTTAGCAACAGAAAAAAAACTCAATTCAACATTTGGTACACCCCCTAGTGGAAAAGTGATGTAAAGCTGAAATTAGTGGAGACGATATGGTATTCTGTTTTCAGCAGCAAAGTGAAATTCAAGTTAGTATATACTTATAAGGTAAAGAAATAGACCAAATCTCTCTATGTAGTAAGCAAGAGAAATTTTCAAAACAGACTATCAAAATTTTTAAGAGTGATGCAATACTATCATGTCTGTAAAAATTAAACACACAGAAATATAGTATAATCTCCATCTCCACATGCCCTAATTTACTAATGTAACCCTAAGCAAACTGTTTAATTTCTCTAAACCCACCTCCTTTCTCTGGAAAATTCTAGAAAAAATACTTACCTCTGAGAGCCGTCACGAGAGTAAAACACAATGTACACAAGATATTTAACATAGTGCCTAGCAAACAGTAAGTGTTTAATAAACATTTGTTATTTCTATTATCTTGAAAACAACTGTTAAGGACTAATGGCACTGCCTAACTTTATTGTTTAATATAAAGTTCTAATAAGTACATGTGAGTTCCAGTTCTGAGATAAAAGTTTTTACTACTAAAGAAACAAAAAGTTACTCATATGTCCAACTTCTTACATCATCTATCCTCAGAATCAGACTGACTGCAATCTCCCAATTCAAAAGTAATCTTGCGAATAACATTAACATTAATTCAAAATGCATTGTTAATCTATTACTTTATCTCTACACAAAGATCATGGGTAGGAGTGAGATAATAAAAGAAAAGTGGACAAAGTACATTTAAGCTTTGAGAAAAATGTGTCCTAAGTTTGGAGATTTCAAGCAAATCATGCCCACACATCATGAACTGGCATCATATACTGAGAAGTCTGAATAAACTCATAAAAAAAATTCCTAAATTTAAGTAACTCTTATTGAAGAGTTTCAAAATGAATTTTAAACTCAGTGTTTAACAACCTATTAACAAAAAGAAGGCAGGCCAAATACATTAAGAGGATTTATAATTTAAAAACATCAAGCTAAGAATAACCAGAATTTTCATTAATAAAGCTCTGCTGCCACCATCTGTTCAAAGACTAAACTACCTGAGGGCCTTTGCTGACATACAGCAAAAGCTGTGTAGCAGCAATAAGGGTTCCAATTCCTGACAGGTGCTTCAGAGTCGGGAACAAGACAACAGAATTCTCTCTAAAGTCACAAGTTATTCCATACTTTTTATATTGCTTTTAAAGATCATTTGAAATTATTCTTCAATGCAGTAACACAGAAGATAACCAAAATGGCCACAGGCCTAAAAGAGCTATAGTTATGAAACTTACAGGAAACAAAATCGTATTCTTTTAAAACATGAACGAATCAATTTTTACACAGGACACCAAAACCACAAGAATGAAAAAGAAAAACAGACAAAATTTCATGCATTTCCAAAGGCCTTATCATATGAAAAGACCACACACAGAATGGGAGAAAATAACAGCCTAGTATCCATAAAAAATGAAGAACTCTTACAACTTAACAATAAAATGTCACAATTAGGAAGGCACTTCTCCAAAGATATGTAAATGATCAATAAGCACATGCAAAGACACTAAATATCATTGGTCATCAGGATATTACAAACCAAAACTACTTCAAACCCACTAGAATGGCTATAGTAAAAAAGATCAACAAGTATTGATGAGGATACGGAAAGTGTAATCCCCAAGCATTGCTGGTGGGAATGTAAAGTGGTGTAGTCACTTTGGAAAATTAATTGGGCAGTTGCTTTAAAAAGTTCATAGAATTAGCATGACAAGCAACTCTGCTCTTAGGTATAAAAACAAAAGAAATTAATGCATATATTTACATAAAAATTTGCACCTGTATATTCACAAAAACGTTATTCATAGTGGCCAAAAATGTTAACAACTCAAATGTCTACCAAATGATAAATAGGTTACATAAAATGTGGCAGATTCACACAATGGAATATTTGGCAATGAAATGAAATACAGTACTAGAATAAACTGTAGTATGTATGAACCTTAAGGAAACCAAGTCAAAGAGCTCAAAAAGGAATACATGACTGCATTTATATGAATTATTTGGAATAGGAGAATTTATATAGACAGAACACAGACTAGTGCATAAAATAAAAATTATGAAAGGTCACTGTTTTGGACTGAGCACCTGCAGTAGGCCCCAACAGAACAGACTAAACCAAAATGGAGTCACTCCTGTTCAATAGACCATAATCAAACTGAAATGTTTAAGGAAACAGATCATGAAACACACCAGTTTTCCCTGAAAATAGATTTAAGTCTAAGAAGTCCCCTTTGTTTTAACATTCACAAAAAAGTAACCTGAAAATAACTAATCAGCCCCTCCCCCTGTCCCGATTCTTTGTTCTTAGCTTACAAAACCCATGTTCTGCTATGCTCAGTGGAAGTAACTGTGATATTTTGTAGAATGGATGCTATGCTGATCTATGAATTAAAAATAAATGCCAACTGTGTCTATAAATTTGTTCTGATTTTGTTTTCTGGATTGGAAAAATTATAGAATTGGGATTGACAGCTAGTAGATATGGGATTTCTTTGAGATGAAATATTCTATAATTAGATTGTGATGATGCTTATTAACCCTGTGTATACAATAACAGTGAACTGTACACTTCAGATGAGTGAGTTGTAGAAAACAAATAATGACAGTAACAATAAAGAAACATGATAATACAAGTTGGGCTTATTATTATGAATAAAATATTTTGACAAGATTGTATATTTCGTAAGATGTAAAAATGACTTTTACCTGACAACAGACATTTGAGGCGCGATAATTTTCAAATGAAAATCATTACAAATGTTAAAGATAGTATCACAAATATTTAATATTTGTTATTCTTAAGAAACAGTGAAAATTAAAGCACATATAAAGCAGTATTTGTCCTACCTAAAGTCTTGATCTTTCCTTGTCGGGGAGGCAAGTATCCCTTAAAGTTGTTTTTATTTTTGCACTGATATTGACTGGCCCAATTATTGTTATTATTTTTTGGTACTGGGATTTGAACTCACGACCTTGCGCTTGCCAGGCAGGTGCTGTGCTGCTGAGCTATATCCCTGCCTGAATGGTCCAATTATTAGGAGTATAGCTAAGCATCACTCATCCATAATGCTTGGGACCAGAAAAACTTCAGATTTCAGATTGTTTTTCAGATTTTGGAATATTTGCAAATAACTGGCTTTAATCTCCTTGGCTCAGGTATTCTGTTACAGCAACAGGAAACAGACTAATATAATTTTACAAAACTACTTGTCAAATTTGCCAAGACTAAACACAAACTTGATTTTTAGAGCATTTCAGATTTTCATTTTTGGAGTGCTCAACCTATACCACCAAAAACATCTTCAGGTTGGGTGGCAGGAAATACACTGCTTCAGATAAGTTTATTTTGTTTTTCGTTTTTTTTTGTTTGTTTGTTTTTCTCCGGTACCGGGAACTGAACTCACGACCTTGCACTTGCCAGGCAGGCGCTTTTTGCCGCTGAGCTAAATCCCCAGCCCCTATTTTGTTTTTCAATGATGAAAATATTTTGTTTGGTTATTTAGAATTTGGTTTTGCCTTCTAATTACACACTGTTTTTACTAATTGATTTTAGATCAGTTTCTTATTCTCATCACAACACTACACAACAACATTCACTTCTTTTCTTTGCATTCTACTGCACTCTTTAGTGATTATTCAAATATTGGAAAATACTAGCAAACACTATAGTACTCTAAGAAAGAAAGTAACATCAGTTTTTCCTAGAAAAATTAACTTCTCTACTGCTGTGTTCAATGTGCCCACCAAAGCTCATGGATGAAATTCAATACCCTTTGTAAAGCAGTAAAAGAATGAAAACTTAAAATCAACTGAGGTATGTGGAAGTGGGTCTTTTTGAAAGTAAGGAAGGTTAATTGAGGCTAAAAGAGTGGGACCCTAATCCAATGAGTTTGTGACTTTGTAAGAAGAGGAAAGACCTGAGCTAGCATGGTCAATCCTTTTTCCCATCTGACCTCTCTTCAGCAAACACGGTTTCCTGTAATAAGACCTGCACTAGAGGACTAGTAGATGCTGGCATCATATTCTTGGACTTTTAGAATTATGAGCTAAAAAAATCAGTTTTCTTTGTAAGTCACCTAGTCTCTAGTATTCTGCTATAGTAAGAGAAAACAGACATGATAATTTCACAGAAGCAGTTGCCAAAGTTGCCAATTTAACAATCTATTTCAAAAAACTTCATAAAAAAGTATTTTTTAGGATTTTAATAGAATTTCTGCACAAACATATTTATTTGCTTGTAAGAATGACTCACTATTAATAGAAGATGGGTTAAAACTTACTCAAAACTACTTAGATTGTTAACTTTTTTCTTCCACAAGCTCCACATCCAGTTCCTGGGACATAATTTTTTATGCTATTGTTTCTTGTACTTGGTTTTGAAAACATTAGTGATTCTTTTGACCAATAATGACTACGTTAGCTATCAAGCTTTAATTCTCAGAAGAACTATAATAGTATTTTACCCCATCTTCCCAGTTTCTCAAATGATAGCTCTTCAGATTTGAAAAATACAGAAATTTCCGGAAAAAATGACAGAAGAAAAATTTTCCCTGAAAATACTAAGACTACCCAGTTATATGAATTTAGACAAGTGCTTTAGTTTAAGACAAACTATACTCTCCACCTTCAAGCAAGGATAAATTTTCACTCTATACATCTATGTTCTTACAATTCAATCTCAAGTAAATAAAAGCTTTCCATTCAAATTATATAATCCCAAGAACCTAGTCACATGTTCCCACAGAACCTATGGTCACATAGTCCCACAGAACCTATCCACATGTTGAATAAAATAAA